GGCCGCCTATTGAATTGGGGTTGTTAAGTTTATAAAACAAGTTTCCTTTCTAATTTTATAAAAATCGGAACGAAAACAAAAAAGAAAAGGAGCAAGTGATTACTCATGATTAATTGAAAATTTGACACATTTTTCTAAAGGAAATTAATTATATTAAGGCAGTAAATTTCATTTACAGTGAATACTAAATAAAACCTTTTCATTCACAACAGTGAAACAAGAGCTTCTAACGGAGTTAAAATTTCAATAATCTTGTTTTTAAAAAGGATCATTTAACACCTAACCTTACGAAAACATATCATTTGCCATTTGTAATATATATAATAGTAATAAATTCTCACAGTAAGTAAACTTAAAGATATTTTTCGATAACTTGAAAAACTAACTTTTCAATTTTATTTTTTCATAAAGTATCTTAGTACTTTTACGGATCTTTTATAAGCAAAAGTTAAAAATAAGTTAAATAAAATGTGGTGTTACAGGCGAATGATGAGGATACTGTGGATAGAGAAGGTTAGAAATGAAGAGTTATTAGAAAGAATAGGAGAATAGAGGTCGTTAAGAAGTGGGCGAGATAGGTTACTAGGACACATTCTCAGGTACGAAGAACTAGTTGTAGTAAGATGAGTAGAGGTAGACCTGGATTAGATTACTGTTCACAAATAGTTAAGGATACGAGATGTTCTAGTTTTAGGGAAATGCGAAGATTAGCTCAGGATAAAGAAAAATGAATATATTTTCAGTCATATCTTAGCTTAATATAATCAATTATTTGAGGTAGGTAAATAAAACAATTAGATACTAGGTAAATACACATTTTGCCATTTCTTAAAATATTATTGCATTTCCAGTTTAGAAGGTGCTAAAAATGAATTCTTTTATTCTTTTGATTTAAAAAAAAAACATTTTTTATATACAGTTTTTATAAAATTTATAGTTTTCCAGACTGATAACAGATTATGTTAGTATTTTGTTTACATAAAATATAAAAAAATATAAAAGCTCATACATAGTTAGTTCGTTATTAAGGGATGAACTGTATAACGGCGACAGTGTTAATAATGACGATAAAAATGTTAGATACCAGTGGCGTGGACGGAAAAAGAGACGACAGGATAATACAAACGTAAAAATTTTGTTGACACGTTCAATCTTAACAAATATGAAATAAAGGAGAAAAACCAACCAAATCGCCTTAATATAGTACATATGTGCACGTCTTAATCTTAATACTAAAATTAAGCAAATAAATAATTTTTCCAGCGTTTTCCATAGATACAATTTTTATAATTTGTGAGACTATTTTTCGTTGTAGCTGCTCAACAAATGTGGCAATAAAAATACGTATTGATAATGTAAAAATGAGAACTAATAACATTCAAAATTAAGGTAAAAGTTGAATCACACCATGAAAGCAGAGGAAGCCATTAAAAAAGCAATAATAAAATTGTCTATTTCATAATCAACCCCAGATTGTATTATCACTTTTGTTATCTCCTTGACAAGTGATTTTCATAAGTGAATTGTAAATAATTGACCGAAACAAAATAAATATTCACTTGCTAGTTAATATTAAAACGTCTAACTGTATATGCTACCTGTGCCTATACAAATACACGTGTGTTCTATAAACAATATTTTTTTTATGGAAATAGTACACCTATGTAAACAAGATAGTTGTTTTAATTAAATCTCAAAGTTTGCTTTACCATCCAGTTGTTCCTAAATGTCAATTTGCAAGACATTGATTTCAGTAATTTCTTATCAAAATACACATGTAAATCAGTAGGCTGTTCTCATGCTCGTTGTAAAAATTAATTGCTGTAATACGTATACAATTTATCACCATTAGCAAATTATTGTAAAATTAATTCACTATTGCCAATTGATATTTAATTATTATTTGAAATAGAAGGTTTCCGAGATTTTTTAATTGTATAAAGTATGATGAGATAAAAATTAAAAGAGAAAACGGTAACGCTGCTACTTTATAAATTTATTTACTTGTTCAAATATATATTTTAATTACCAAATGTGATCTTCAGTTGTATATAATTCTTAAATTTGGAAACAGATATGTCCACGTAATAAACAGTGAATTAGAAGCAACTAAACCGTTAGAAAAAAATAAAACTCTGTTTTACTTTCGCTGTCTTTCTTTATATAAATAACTTCTGTTGATGATGATTCAATAATAACTAATAGTTGAACTGCACCAGAAGTTGTTTTTGCAACAATCAGGGAAGCAACAAGAGTTTGAGGGAAGAGAGAGGCAGTC